GACTCTGCCTAGGCCCAGGGGGAAAACCGTAACGACAGATCCGCGACGTCGGCACCTGGGGATGCGGCGGGGGCAGGGCCCGCAGGGACACCACTGTGGTCCCCAGACCTGGGAAGAGGGTACGGTGTATCCCGGAGCCCAGACGCCCGTGGCTGGGGCCCAGATCCCAAACTCACAGGGGCTTTCTGACCGCTGCGCAGAAAGCCACCCAGATGAGACTTGTGTCTTTATTCTTGGCCACGCAGAGAAGCCTGTCTGCCCAGAAAATTAATTAATTTTTTGGTACCGGGGATCGAACTGGGGACCTTGTGCTTGCGAGGAAGACACCACTGAGCTACATCCCTGGCCCCACGTTTTAAGTTTGTAAAAGTTGCCGGCCATGGTGACACACGCCTATCATCGCAGCACTTGGGAGGCTGAGGCAGGAGAATCGCCGTGAGTTCGAGGCCAGCCTGTGCTACATAGTGAGTCAAGGCCAGCGTGAGCTAATAGCGAAACACTGTCTCAAAGAAAAAAGGAAAAAAACAAACAAACAAAAAGTCACTGTCCAGTATTTAGGAGCGCTTGGCCGTCATTTCTGCCTTGTACCATTTGCTTCCTCATACAGTCGTCCATGGCATGCCTGTGAAACTCCAGCTTCCTACCCCAGAGGCTTTCTGCTGTACATCCTCCGTTATAATTTAGCAAGGGAGCCTAATTGATTTCAACCTGGTGCTTGCTGTTTGGTGCATTATTAAAGACATCTTGGTTACAATAATCTAAATAATTTAAATGTCTTTAAAATGGTGCCATTATCAAGAGAAGTGGGCAGCTGCTCAGATTCCTGCCACCTGTGGACCTGTGCCGTTCTTTCCTGGGGAACCTTAGTTTCTTCTTAACTGTCAGTTCGGAGCCATCCTGGTTGCCCTTCAGAAGTGGGCCTCCGGGGACGCCCCCAACACCTGTCTGCAGATTGGAGAAGTTGATTTCTTTCTCTTTCTGATTTTTGGTCAGATGTGCACCACCTGGGCCGCTGTGTTTGTGCCCCAACTTGCCCGACCTCTTAGAAGCTTCTGGTGGGAGACGCCTAGATGTTCGGTGACCGGTTGTTCGGCAGCAAGAGTCTGTCTGTGACAGGCTGTCAGTCTGTCTGTAAATCCGGAGCTGTTTCTTTAGCTGTGTGAGGCTTCCCTACAGTAGCTCCCAAGTGTCTTGGGCTGGTCGGCTTGTCCAGAGATTTTTGTAGGCTTTCTTTGTTCCTTCCTTGCAGAGCTGTGATGGGGCTATGGCACTGGCTGGTCTTTGAGAATGTCACATAGCGCGGTTTGGTGGAGGACTAACTTGGAGCCAGCCCTTTCCCTCAGGTTTGTAGGCACAAACTGGACTTCATACTCTTTTGGGGAGAGGCGTTCTTTGCCAAGCTTTCTCCTCTTAGGAAGCTCCACAAATGGAACACAGCGTATGTTTCACAACGCCCAGGTATTCTGTGATTGAGAATGACCTGGTTTCTAGCACCGCTTGCACAGACAAGAAAATGGAGACTCGGGACTGCTCCGTGTCTGTCCTCTCTCGGGCCCACTACGTTCTGTGTTATGGCTCCTGGGACAGAGGTGGTAAGTGGAAAGCTCTCCTCCACACAGCACGGGCCCCTGCCAGGAGTCTTTCTCAGGGGTTGGCTCCCTCCTGTCTCCCTTCCAAAAACCCTGGTCGGGGCAAATGATAGAAGCCAGGGTGGGTACAGATTGTTAAATTTGAAACTCCTCAGCACCTACTCAAGCCGGGGCACTGTGGGAACTCAGGGCCTTGCCACTATGTTTTCTTTTGATGGACAGAGATACAAATTTGTAACAGCTGTGAAACAAAACAGCTGTATCTATGTAATACTTTTATGTTACTATGTGTGTGTGTTTTACATACATGCACATCTGGCTAATATATGCGCATACGCACACATACATATACTGGAAATGATGTGGGATTTTCCTATCTTTTTTAAAATTAAAAAACAATTTTCAATTTATTTATTTCTTTATTTTTGGTACCAGGAATTAAACTCAGGGCCTTGCCTTTGCTGCTCAGCTACATCCTCAGATCCTTTAAAAATTTTTTTTGAGGGCTGGGGATTTAGCTCAGGGGTTCTGCCTCCTGCCTCACAAAGTGCAAGGTCCTGAGTCTGATCCCTGGTACTGAAAATTAAAATTTAAATAAAAAAATTTTTTTGAGACAAATTCTTGCTATGTAACCCAGGCTGGCCTTGAACTCAGGGTGATTCTCTGCCTCAGAGTGTGTACATCACCATGCCCGGCTTTTATTTTTAAAAAATTTTTAATTTTTATTCATTTATTTGTTTGTTTATTTAGTTTGATTTTTGAAACAGGGTCTCATTATATAGTTGAAACTGACCTGGAACTCACTATGTTCACTATGTAGCCCTGGCAGGTCTTGAACTCACAGTGATCCTCCTGCCTCTGCCTCTTGAGTGCTGGGATTACAGGTGTGCATTAGCACACCCGGCTCATGCTGGGCTTTTATTATTATTTTTAATTTTACATATATAT